AAAATCAGCTTATCCGTCTCTGCCACACGCATCTGCCCGATGAGACCTTTGTTATTAAATGGCTCAAATTAATCTACACATCCAACAAAAAAAACTAGGCATTCTTTTCCATGGCTAAAATAATTTGTGTTTCATCATCTAGGACATCTCCAATGATTGTCAAATTTTTTCACCTAGGATTTTTTTTATGATGTGACAGATGATATACGGGAAGAGGAGGTAATATGTACGTAAAACAGCAATCTTGGCACAAGCTCTAAGGGTAAAAAAAGGGCAAACTTAGATAAACCATATTAGAGTAGTTACATGATGATCTGTTGGTGGATGATAATGTCTGTTTTTACCAACAAACTAACATACAAACTCTTTCCCATATATCTGATGTCACGGTCACTGAAATGGTATAACAAACTGCTGGACGCCATGTACAACGACAAAAGAAAACTGGAACCGATGAACTGAACGCATGGTGAAGCTGGTTTAATTATTGTAGACAAGAGTAGTCGACATGGTTGCAACAAAAAAGGAACGATAATCGAGCAAGGAGCACTAGTGGGCGTCCTCCTCCTCGCAGTGCTTGGTGTACTTGGCCGAGTCCAGCAGGCCCTCCAGCTCCGCCGGGCTGCTCGGCTTCACCTTGATCATCCACCCCTCCTCGTACGGGCTCGAGTTGATCTGCCAGGCCACGGCGCAATCGCAACAACACAGTTCATTAGGATCGCTACACGGACGTGAAAGATTGATTGCTAATCGACGGAGGCGAGGTGTTTGCTGTGCGTACAAGGCCGGGGGTCTCGGACAGCTTTGAGTTGACCTCGACGACCTCGCCGGAGATGGGCGAGTTGACGTCGCTGGTGGCCTTCACACTCTCCACGTTGCCGAAGGCTCCGCCCTGGCTCACCTTCGTGCCGGCCTCCGGCAGCTCCACGAACACCACCTCCCCGAGATGGCCCTGCACCCAGCGATTATTATTGACGCAGGATTGACATATGGAAAGCATACATGTAGGGAGTGCCGTTGGTTCACCTGGGCGTGGTCACTGATGCCAATCGTGGCCACGGAGCCGTCGTTCTTGACCCACTCGTGGGAGGAAGTGTACTTCAAGCCATCAATAACTGCAAACTCACATCAAAACCATTCAAAAAACTTTCTCTAAACAACGAGCTCCCTCGTCGATTTTCATTGAAGAAACTGCCAGTTTTTACAAACTTAAAATGCTCAGACATCAACGGAGAAAAGCCATCCATTCAAACACGACCATAGCTTTACCGGCTCTGCACATCGTGTGCTGCTGAAGCTGAAACTATTTTGCTTGCAGAACAACTATTCCCATCTCTAGAAGAAGTACCCCTCCTTCTATTCTAATTGAAGATTTTTTTCCACCTTTCCTTTTTCGGATAACAACAAAGGACCAGCCCACATAAGATACAGGTAAAAAAAACCACAATGTGTTGAGTGCAAAGAGTTGGCCTGCAAAGAATGCACAAGAACATTGCACACTACATGCACTCTCTACCAAAAAAGGAGAAACATCTTGCCGAATCCTACTTGAGACAACTTCAGTTAGCATGAATAGCAAAACTGTACCAGTGGAGAAGTATCTGGAGATCGAATAGGCCGGGGCAGCAGCCCTGGCGCCGCTGCTTGAAATCTTGAGGGCATTGGCAGCTGAGCTCGCCCACAGCCTCAGAGCCATTGTAGCCTAATTTAGGTGTTGCAACCTGAAGCAACAAAGTGAATGTGTGTTCTCTGCTCTCCCTTGTAGGGGATGGTGGCTCGGTGGTAGTAGTGGAAAGAGGCCGTGGGAGGATAGGGAAAAGGAAATTGTTTGGCTCAGGAAGAGGGGGAGGAAATAAGAGGGGTAGGCAGGATAGGATTTCTATGGCTGATGGGTGCTCATAGCCTCATCCTTGCTTTAGAGCAGAGCCATTAAGGGCCCCCCTCAGCTTGGTCCAAATTCGATGGATTAATGTTAAACAAATTTGAGACCTGAAAATTGTCCTATTCGTATGTACTAGGAGTGATTGGACTATAGATCGGTCTATTTTAATCTACCGTGTCCTCCGCGTGGGCAAATTCTCATTAGTCAGCCGTGTCCTCAGTGTACAGCCCTCTAGTAGAGAGAATTTGTATCTGCATTCGAGGAGTGCACGTAAATATATTTTTAATGTGCGAACATTCTTCTTCAAAACATGAACATCTATTCGACATACATGAACATTTATCTTTATATACAAAAATTGTTAAAATATATAAATGAGTTCTAAAAAATACACGAACATTTTTTTCCATATGTATGAACATTTTTTCTTGCAACATGCAACCATTTGTCTCATACAGAAAACATTTAAAAAAATAGATGAACAGTTTTTAAAAAGACACTGATATACTTATATATGTGGGTTCTTTTTTTTTGCAACACATGGTCATTTTTTTCTGACCCTTAAATGGGTTTATATAAAAGGTAAAATAAATATATTTTAAAAATTTATAACAAATAAAAAAACAATGCTTGTTAGTGGGTCGCACTGGTTAAAAGAGTTTTAAAATATTACAGAAAACCTAAAGTATGCGCATTTTACATAGTGCGAAAAAGAATGTTCACAAACCTGTCAATAGAAATATTTATCGTGCAACATAAAGCGTCTCTTAGTTGAACAATATCCATTTCCTATATACCCATAAAATGTTTCATGCATCAAGAAGTTTGTGTATTTTTTTTACAAAAAGTTCATGGATTTGAAAAAGTTGTTTGGGCATGTCTAGATATATGTCCAAGCACTTACAAAATTGTTAGCATATTTTCCAAAAAAAGGTAAAACACCAAAAAAGTAAATCAAACATAAATGAGCAAGAAAAGAAATGTAAAGTAGGCAACTAATTACCTTCTTCTTCTTTTTTTGCGGGGGCAACTAATTACCTTCGATCTGGTTTCAGATGTAGATAGTTCCCTTTCTCCCTGGAGTGACCCTAAGTTATCAAACTCACGGGAAGTCATGCCTCAGTAAGATGATTTCCGCAAGACTTTTTTTAGAACAAGAGTAGAACACTACTCAAGCAGGAGAAGGATATTCGCCTAGCATCAGTGGTCGCAGTCTCTCCGGCACCCCTTCGATCCACTTCTGATCTTCACTTCTCCTAGTTTCGGCTGCCAGTTCATGGGCGAGAACATTCCCACTGCGTCTGGTACACGAGATGTTGCATGCTTCAAACGCAGATATGGCATGCTTGATGTCCATGATCGACCCATAATTAGGGGACCGAGTGCGGGCCTGCTCTGTAAGTTCCTTAGTAATTGCTTGGCAGTCCAGTTCCAGCACGGTTGGTCCATTGTACACATTTGCCAGAGCCTGCACGCCTGCCAAAGCTGCCCTTGCTTCTGCCTCTTCTGCACTCCCGCATGCCGGCAACCTTTGGTAGATGGAGACAAGGATATGGCCTTGATAATCACGGGCTACAACACCAGCCACACTCCAACCATTCTTGGCCAAGAATGACGCATCACGATTTATCTTGACAGTACCTCGTACTGGTGGCGTCCACTGCAAGTTCAGTTTAACTAGCGGTGTTGGTTGGATTTCTACCATGTCCTCTGCGTACTTCCCAAATACTGAATCTCTTGCCATACTATTGTGTTTCAGTTCATCTGCACATTTTGTTAGGAATTAAACAGAACCCGAGATGGATTCTTGTCCATTGTGGCAGACATAGTCTTCCTGTAGGTGCCAAGATCTCCACAGCAGTAATAGGATTTTTGCCCGGCATTCTTCCGACTCTAAATCAAGCAGGACCTAGAGCCAGTCCTCACCTGTACATCTGAACTTGATCTCCACCAGCAGTGTCCATTTTTCTCTAAGGGCAAACCTCAACGCCCTGCTTTTAGTACATGCCACCACCTCATGGAATTCATCCTCCTCTCCCTGACCACATATGCTACAGGCAACATCTACCTCTAGAGTTCTTTTCCACTTGTTCTTCTTTGTAGCCAGAGTACTTGTCGCTGCCCTCCAACTAAAGATACGCACCTTGCCGGGGACTTTCTCCTTCCAAATGAAATCCCAGATGCTACGATCATTCGCATCATTGAAGGAACTGGAGGGACAAGGTGTGTGGCTCGCCTTTGCTCCCATAGCTAATCTGTATGCGCTTCTGACAGAGAAAACTCCATTCTTCTCGTAATGCCATGCAATCCGGTCTGTCATGTTTGCCTCTGGGATGGGCAACTTACATATTTCATCAGCATCAAAAGGGAAAAAGATCTGCCTAATAAGCCCCTCGTTCCATTCTTTTCTGTCGGGGAGAATGAGCTGGTTGACCCACTGAATTCTTGATCTCCTAATAAAAGCTGCCGTCATGAGCCCTTCCTTCCTGGGTATCCACTGGTCATGTTGGATTTGAATGCTTTTGCCATCTCCCACTCTCCAAATCAGTCCCTTCTTGAGAAGTTGTAGCCCGAACTCAATAGCTTTCCAGACAGGGGATGCGTCCGATGCAAAAATTGTATCCAGGATGCTCCCGTTCGGGTAGTACTTTGCTTTTAGGACTCTCGCACATAAGTTGTCCGGGTTTTGGATGAGTCTCCATCCCTGTTTTGCAAGCAAAGCTTGGTTAAAGAGATGCATGTCTCTGAACCCAATACCACCACCTCTTTTGGGTTTAGTCATTTTCTCCCAGGACATCCAATGCATCTTCCTATGGTCGTCCTCCTCTCCCTGCCAGAACTCTCTAATCATACGTTCGTACTTCTCGCAGAAGCCTTTGGACAGCATGAAAACACTCATGGTAAATACAGGAAGGGCTTGTATCACGGATTTGACATGGACCTCCTTAACCGCGTAGGACATAAACTTTTCTGACCAATCGTTGCATCTCTTCCCAAATCTGTCCATAATTGGCTGAAATTTTTCATCCTTCATTCTTCCCTCAAGACTTTGTTACAAAACAATTCCAGTTCTGACCAAATCACACATATTGAAGTGGGAATAATAATAAATAAATAGGTCAGGATTAGAGGTTCACTTGCAATCATACACGCATGCTTGAGATTCTATCTAGATAATCAACATGGCTTTGGGGTCAATTGTTTTGCTGTTTTGGGGGCTTTGAGAATAAGTTGCCCTCTACCCTGTTTATTCTATAAGCCCAACCAAAATTTTCCTTTTGAAAGCCTAATAGTCAAGTCTTAACTACTAGGCTTCTTAAAAAATAAATTTGGTTGGGCTTCTAGAATAACCCAGGTAAGGGGCATCTTATTCTAGAAGCAAGCAAAAGAACCGGCCCTTGATAAAAGACGGTTACTTATTTGTTTTCAACGTGTTGTTTGTGGGAGATGTGTCCAACTGACACCATGACCGACTACCGCCGTGTCGAGATTCTTTTGTTCAACCAAGGCCCTTACCTTCTCGTGGGGTAATCTTAGTTATTAAGGAATTAACCCGACCAATGCATTGGACTTAATGACAACACTTTATGTACCCCTAGAGAATAGGTTCTAGCAACCTTACTAATCTTACTTTCACCGATGTTTGGCATAGCCTTCTGTTTCTCTCTGCACTTAATCTCTCGATCTTCAATATCTTGTGTACTTGCGAGGCCTTGGAAGTTAGAACGAGGTAGAGATAAGAGGCGAAAACCGTCGTGTAACACATCAAATAACATTATCCTTAAAGTAAACCAACAACCACTTAGCGCGCATACATGCGGTTGCGAGGCTAGGCCTCAACCCTTGGCCCAAGGGGACTACTCGCACATCGCACAAGAATGACCAATAAGATACATTGTGAAACTGATACTTGAAGATGAATGGTTATAAGTCTTACAATGTATGTCGATTAGTGATGTGTTCCCTATTACAAGTATTATGGCAAACGGAGATGGGGATAACAGAGATGGAGATGACTACGGAAATGGCGGCTACTATTGTAGATGGGAATGGTGACAATGGTTGTAAAGGGATGACTTGATGGATGAGTGACTCCTTTCACCAAGGGTTTTCTCTCCTTTATAAGTATATTGCAAGTGGGCGGAATAGGGTTTCAGGGTGCCTCTGATACGAATTGACACTAGGCGCCTTCATGGAAGATGCCGGGGATGATGTCATAGAGGCGGCAGGCAGTATGACCGTTGGTACGAGCGCTCACCGGCGTACTACGCGTCTTCTTCTCCTATGGACTTAGTTATGTGCCTTCTATTAATTGGGTTTGATTACTCTGCTTATTATCTTCCATATATGGCTTGATTTTGCACCAAATATAGTTCATTCATGCAAGGAACAAAATAAACAAAGAGATTTACAATATTTTGCATTCATTAATTATTAGTGACAAATCAAAGTGATTATCTCAGAAAATCCAAGATTATCTAGTTTAAACACACGTAGAAATTAGCGCAAAATTACACTCATCAACCTCCCTAAGCTTAAACGATACCGTAAGGAAATCAATGTTTAAGCTTAAATAAAGAAAGGTTTTGGTTCACTTACGCTCGTGTATGCCTAGATAGCTAGCCACTTTCTTCATCTGAAGACTTAGCATAGTTGTAGTGGTGATAAAGGTTATTATGCAAGCTTGTTAGGCCAAGACGGTTAAAACGAAAAAATATGAACTTGGACAAAGTAGCTACTTAGTAATTATTTTATTTTGTCTAGGTAGCACTTGCCTGCTGGTAACACTTTTGCAACGAAAACATAATCAGACG